GAGAGAGAGAGAGAGAGAGAGAGAGAGAGAGAGAGAGAGAGAGAGAGAGAGGGGGGGAGAGAGAGAGAGAGCGACGTAGAGAAATAGAATAGAGAGAAAAAGAAAGAGAGAGTAAGCGAGAAGCCAGAAAAAGCGACGTATACACCAGATCGTGATTACACAAGTATCAAATATTATCATGTCTATGTCTCTCCAATATAGAGTTTTTATCATTTGTATAAATGTCTTAACAATAAAGGCTTAGCACCGCATGTTCCCTCTCGTCAGTAACGGTTATCCAAGGACGCAACAAACTTCAGAGCCCCAAAATGAATTTCGAATCTTTGTTGAGAAATGTTTCTCATTTTTTTGGCCCTAAAATCTAGAACTCCTTTCCCCAGGGTCTCAGAGAAATAATAAATTCTAAAACATTATTTTATGCGATTGCTCAAGACTTTGTTTAAGTGTGTTAGTAAGTGCTGATATGTTTTGTTTTTACAGCTATTCGTACCTGTATATAATCTTAATATTTGGTTGTGATGGTTCTTCTTAACGTTGTTGAACTGGTTTTTTCTTGTTACCGTGAAATAATATTTGATCCTGTGCGAATGAATCATTACTTTCCAGTGATCATGTAATTGATGTAAAAGACTCAGAGCTTATGCTCGTACAGGATAGATAAATACAATCTGATATTGTTGTTAATTTTATCATATATTAAAAAACCCATGTCTGTGAAGATTTTTTGAGAGATGTTAATCAAAGGAACACTTAATGTAAATGTGTAGATTCAATGGACACAGAAGCTTTGGAAATCACCAAACTATGGTCGTCATTTTCTCGTTACTTTTAAGACCCCCCACCTCCTTCACTCTCACATATCTCGGCTTTTACTCAATATAGATGGGTATTGTTTTCATCAAACGCAAGACAAATAAACACATTTTAAGATGAAAACAAAAACGTTCTATGCCCACAAATTGATTATTTGATTAGTACCTGATTCTACAGTGTCCTTCTCTTCCTCTGCCTTGGCTTCTCTATGAAGAAAGCATAGTCGAACCTTGCTCAAACGGCTGCCCGTCCCAGACAATCACCAGTCACCTGGAGAAATGACCACCCCCAAGCC